CTGTTTCCCTTTCCATCCATGGGAACCCTTGGTTGTTTGTTTGTACCACCTATTGTCAGTTGGGTGATGCCTTTTTTGGGATTGTTGGGGGTAATGTCAGTTGTATGTGAACTAATTGACTTGCTTGTCCCCCCAGCAATCGTTCATGGAATGTCCTTTTTGTATTCAATACATTCCACCTATGGGTTCATCTTCCTGCTGGTTGTGTCACCCCTGTCAGGCCTAGTCATTGGCAGAACAATCTCACAGGAGTAACTTCCATCAATCTCTATTTACTCCATTTCTGCCTCTCTCTGTCCAGGGAGGAGCTCAGGCTGAAGGAAGAAACAGCAGCTCAGCATGGGAAAGGGATCCAAGCCAGTGGAACACCCACCTTGAAAACTGCTTTTCCTTTTGAGGCATCTGTCAGCTTTTGGGATGGGTTTAGGGCAGGGCACTGCATATACCATGCAGCTCCCACACACATCTCATCAGATGCAAACCTCTGCCATTCATAACTTGAAAAACTGCCACCATGACTAAGTACAGCCCTAAGTGTCACCCAAAGATGATCTCAGGCACACCAGAGCTTCCCCCCTGCAGTAGAGGCCACTTGTTCTTGGCACCCAAATTTGGTCAGAAGGAGCTCTGAGGTACCTAATGAGAAGCCAGGGTACGTCATACCATCAGACCATTGTTGAAGAGCTTCCCCACGCTCTTGAAGCAGCCAGATGGAGTCTGATTCTTAATCAGGGCACTGGCAGCATCCTTTATATTCTGCTCATCTATGTGGATGAAGTCCCGGGCTTGGCTGAAGGTCTTGAGGACAAGGGCAGTCAGCCTAGATGGAAGGAAAGGGGAAGAAAATCAGACTGAATGCCCATCTCCAGGAGAGAGGAGTCTCTGTGTCTTCTGCTGTCTCACCCTGCTTTAGCAAGGGGGTTGGACCTGATGATCTCTAGAGGTCCCTTTCCACCCCTACCATCTGTCATTGTGTGCTTCTGTGATCCCTTGGGAAACACCAGCAGGCCAGAGCCTCTGTGCAGATGGAGAATGGGAACCAATGCACATGAATGAGATGCTCTTGAAGCTCGAGTTCAGATCCGTTTGCAGCAAGAGAGAAAAAATTTCCTGACAGTTCAGTGTCTGCCCCAGAGCTCTGCCAGCTGCAGCAGGGTGCACTGGTGTGATGTAAAGCCAGGAGAGCTGATGGTGAGCTCACTCAGCCCCTTTCCCAGGCCTGGTTGGGTACAAGGCACTCTGGAAAAACTGGAAGGAAGGCAGCTTTGCAGCCAAACTTTCAGAGTCAGGTCCAGTTGGGGTGCCCAGACACAAACAATCCAACAGGGGTACCTCAGGTCAGCTCATTGGCATAGTTCTCTCCCAGATATCCCAGGAACAATTGCTGTTCAAAACCCCACACCTCCAGACTCCGTTTCCCCAGACCAAAACACAACCCAGCCTGAGCCTGGCTAGGTGGAGCTGTTGTTTCTCGCTGGTGTGTGTGTCTCTGCTCACCACGTGTTCCCTGGCTCGTCCCCTCCCCCGAAGGCGCTGTAGGAGCCGTCGGCGTGCTTGTACAGCAGCTGTCGCTGGTAGCCTGTGGGAAGAGGCTGGGGACAGTGAAGGTGCTCTGTGTCTGTCATGTTATCCAGGGGACAACCCACCCCACCAACCCTGCTGATCAGGAGGGAGAGCATTGCCTCTGAGGGATTAGCAAAGGGCTTCCAGAGAAGAGCCACGCTCAGATGAGGCACAGCAGTGTGATTTACATGGTGTCAGGGAATAAAATGTCCCTAAATCACCCTCAGCACCAAGCCTCTGCTGAGACCACCTGCTTGGTGATCCAGCACGAGCAGAAATCCACTCACCACTTTCCAGATAGACCATTGCCTTCTGTTTGACTTCTGGAGTCAGTTGTCCTGTTTCTTCAAGGTATCGTGTGATAAAGACATTTGGGGCAAAATGAACCATGTTCTGCTCACCACAGCCACTGGACATCTGGAGGAGCTCACCTATGTTGTCCAGTGCTGTCCCCAGAATGTCACCTGTAGGATAAAAATCACAGCTTTGGGAGCTTTATGTATCCCTGCATGTTAAAAATTTCTCTTCTCACCAGTTCTCCAGATAACCTGTTAAGACTAGTCTCAGTTCACCTCTGCTCACACTGGGGGGACTTTAGTACCTGCAGAGTCCTGTAGAAACAGGGATATGGAACTTTTGTCATCTCTCCCTTGATTGGGTGAAATTATACATCCATCTGACCCTGCATAACTTCTACAAGAGATGAGATGCTTCTCTGGAACACATAAGGGCCCAGTGTCCCATCTCATGGCACCTACTTGTTAATCTCTTTGCTAAAGCAGACATGGTGGCACCAGAAGAAGACTCCTGCAGGCCAAACTCCTTTCCAAGGTGCCCTTGAATCTCACCTATGAAGGAGATGTGGGCTCTCTCCGACCCGAGGACTCTGTTCTCTGGCATGGTGAAACTGATTGTCTCTGAAGCTGAAGTTCCTGCAAGTGACAAGGACACCAGAACAACAGGAGGGAGGTGGCAGACCCAGAGGCATCCCCAGGAGGTGGTGTAAACGAGGCTGGGATCACCTCATCAGTTGGTGAAACCAGCATCCAAAGGAGAGGGTAACACAGAGATCACTGATCCCTGACTGCCGTGGTTGGGCAGTGGCTCGGTGCTGCCAGGAGCCTGCAGCACTGGGTAGAGCTGGGTGGCTCTGTCTCCTCATACAGGCTCCCAAACCCCTGACTTTCCCCTCCCGAGGTACCTCCAGATAGTCCTAGAGCTGTTCACAGGTTACACTGCTGCTCTTTGGTCTCCCTGCCCCGTGTGCGTGCGCGGCCCCCGTGGTAACACAGCCCCATCTGTGGGGCACCTGCACCTACCTTTGGGGCACAGGAGTGAGGAGTGGGTCTTCTCCTCCAGCAGACCCTCTGCCTGGTGGGGAAAAGCTGGTCAGCTCAGAAAGGAGAGCAGTGAAACAGCAGCTGAGCAGCACTTCGAGCCCCTTTCCTGTCCTGGGGGCTGTGCAGAGGGCCTCATGCAGGCCCCAGGAGGATGTGTGCTGGCAGGCATGGTTCCCTGGGAAGCACTCTCCTAAGCTGCTGCGTGGCCTTTGCCCTGCTGTGCTGCTGGCAAGTGGTTCTGGTGCCTCTGCCCCAGTGAGTGGAGGTGCTCGAGCTCATGCCCCAGCCCAGCCCACCCTTAGAACTGCTCCTCAACAAGCCCCCCCTGAGAGATGCCCCTGCCTGCCCAGCAGCCTCCCCCCAGAGCCACCCCCAGGCTGCTTCAAGCTTCACCCAGCCCCGATCTCAGCAGGACCCTGAAGGACTCTGACCTTCACCAGCAGGTGTTTCACCACCGTGTCCTTCCCACCAGACTCTGGCACAACAGGGGGGCTCCCAGTGCAGACATCTCCCTGCTCTGTCACCTCAGCAGTGACAGTAAAGTTCACCTTCCCTGAAGAAGAAAACACCAAGAGCACAGTTGGCACAGCCATGCCCACGTTTGAGTCTGCTCAGCCCAGGGCTGGTTTCCTCAAGTAGCTCTGCCAGGGTCTCCCACTTCTGCCCCTCCCTTCTCCCCTTACCTAATTTTGTAGCCTTCACATCCCAGGAGAATGTTTTTGCTGAATCAGGACACAGACAAGCAGTGAACTTGTCATTTGCATGCACAAATTCAAAATCCCTGGAGTCCATGAGGCTAAGCTGGATCTAGAGGTGAAATAAAAGGGAGTTTGGGTTACAGAACCACTGCTGCTTTCTTTTTCCAAATATTGGTCAAGCCCAGAAGCTCAAGGTGAGTATGATCATAGAACGATTTGGATTGGAAGGGATCCTAAAGATCACTTGGTTCCAACCCCCCCCTGCCACGGGGACACTTCCCACTAGACCAGGTTGCACAAGGCCACATCCAACCTGTCCTTGAACACTAGAGGGGCAGAATGATGATGGCTCTGTTGCTGTCTCTGTGGGACACCAATGGCCCATGGATGTCACAGTCCTGTAGGGCTGAGCTTATGGGGAGGGAGAAGCTGGCCAGGGATGGCTCTGCATGGAGCTTTGTGAAGAGCTTCCTTGGTGTCTTTTGCCCAGTGCCTGAGGAGGCAGCCCCTTCTCTGGGTCCCTGTCAGTGAAGTGCTGTTACCACACATCCCTCTGCCTAAAAACCACCCTGAGGGGAGCCACTCACTGCCATGCATTGCTTCAGGTAGCTGAAGACTTTGACTGTCAGGGGAAATGACTCTCCACGGAAGACAGAGTAGGGCAAGGTGGGTTCCACAAAGAAGGGCTTGAAGATCTGCAGGCTGGTGGTGTCTGAGATTCCCAACCCGTGGCTCCCTGAGGTGCAGAAGGTCATGGCTCTCCAGTCTGTGATACTGTCAGGGACTGTCACAGCTAGCTCAGCAAGCCCTGAATCACTGAGGAGAAAACAGAGTGGAAGAAGTTGTCCCCATCCCCATAAAGATTTCCCTTGGGAAGACAAATGCAGAAGGATTATGAACTAGAAGTGTGTGTGAAGGTGTGGGGATTCCTAGGAAGTAGGACAGAGGCATGGGAAGGAGGGCAAATAGGTGGACAAGGAAGGACTGAGGCAAATGCAGACCAAAATTTGCTTCTGGACAGTGTTGCACCTCAGATTCTAGTTTTGTATGGGCACAGGGCTCCCAGAGTCTCTGTTATAGACCCACCCTGACCATGAGGATGGGCAAACACTGGAACAGGTGCCCAGATAGTTTGTCAAATCTCCATCCTTGGAGATATCCATCTCCTTGGAGATACAGAGAAATAAACCTGATCAAACTGAACCTGCCCTGCACAGGATGTTGAACCACAGACCTTTGGAGGGCCTGTCCACCCTAGAGGAATATGTGATTTTAAGTTCCCCAGGGTCATTTGGAAAATCTCAGGCACAGCCAGGAACTAACCCAAACTTCCATTGTCCTTGTCCACTTCTTCACACCTCCCTTTTCTCTGTGTGCACAGAAGGCAATGAAGCCCTGGCTCTGCTCCTGCCCTTTCCCTCCCCACTGTGGCTGGTAGGAGGTCTGGATCCACATGGGGCCACAGCCCATCCTTACTCACTTGATGGGAACCATACTCCAGATGAATGTCTCTGGAAACCAGGTCCGTACTGGCCCCACGTCAGCACCCAGCTCAACCTGCTCTGACTCAGCTTGCTCAACATCTTCTTCCAGGACCAGGCCGCCCAGTTCTGCCAGCTCTCCATAAGCTATTGGGAATACATTCATTGAAAGGCAGAGCAACTGTGGAATCAGGATTGAGTTTAGCTGGGAAAAGCTCAGCTCTTCACCCCTCCCACTCCAATCCTCCTTGTCCTTTCCAAGAGGCCTTCAACCTACTTGACTCTTGGCTTCCTTGAGCCAAACGAGGAGCCCATGGGGGTTTCAGTGTGGGTGTACTCCCCCCTGAGGAACTCTATCTGCTCACACTTTTGGTCTCAGCCCCTGCAGGGAGTTGTAGATACTGCCCAGTGCCAATCTTGGCTCATTCTCTGGTTTCCAGCAAGACCTTTCCTGGGCTTACAAACAGCTGTTGCTATCTGGGACAGCTGCATCACTTCCCCCCTTGACCATATCATCTGCCTGCCTGCCAGCAGAAGCTTCCAAGCAGGTTTTTCCTGAGCAGCCACCCTTCAGCCCCTGCAGTGCACACAATCAGGACCCTCCCCTTCTTCTTGTGGTGCACATCTCCTGTGCAACCTTCCACTCCTCTCTGGAAGCCATCTCCAGCTCCTCAGGACACTGCATGTTCAGCTGCCCTTGTGCAGCCTGTGTGTTACCCACGATTTCCAAAGGAACAGCATAAATGGGGATGTACACATGTAGTCATAGTAGAGAGCAGTCTGGGTGTGGCACTCGATGGGAGACTTGATCTGAAGGCTGGTTAAAAACGTCAGACCAGAATTCTGGAGGGAAGAAGGGGAAGAAAAAAGGCAGATATTAGTGGAGGGGGTGGTGTATCTGAGGGTCTGCCTTTGCCCCCACCTCCCAGCATGTCAGCCACCCTGTGCAGTTGCACCTCAGCCTGGGAGTTTACACAGGGGAGAATGCAGAAGCATCCTGCTCCCAAAGCCTGGTCCTGGCTCCACGTGCCAGAGGAGCCACTCCCCAGGACTGTGGGAGTGACCGTGCCCACGTGCATGGCCACACACAAAGTCATTATTTGGGCACCACAATTTGCTGCCAATCCAAATGGGGACTTGTTCTCATCTTACACTTGCTACTCATTTCTACTCCTCTTTCCTCAGACCCCCTTTTCTTGCAGGGGCTTTGCTTTTCCACCCTCCAGCTTTCTCTGGTTCAGGCTGACACTCTCTGCTCCATCCAGCCCCTACAAAATCTGAGGGTCTTGAGCTTGGGATGAGTGGAGAGCTGGGTTTGAGGGATCTGGCTGATCAATGGGAATTTATCAAGCTGTGAGCGTGGAGTGTCAGAGGTCTCTTGGTTCAGAAGTTTGGCAAATTCAGAACCTGAGGTTGACAGCATTTACAGAAAAGACAACCTGTGAAGCTACCCAGTGCTGACCCAGGATAAAAAAAGGGCTCAGCTCTGAGATTTCAGGTTTTCAGCAAATCATATTTACCTTCAGAACTTCATAAAGATCTGGCTGGGACACTGCATAAGCATATCTGTTGTGCATGAACGGTGAGGTTGTTCCTGGTGGAGGGGTGGTCTGAGGGGAGCTGATGGCTTCTGAGCTTGTATGGATAGCACAGTAGTCACTGTAATAGTCTGTAAGGGTGCTGGGGTGCTCCTGAGAGTAGCTGAACATATTATGCACCTATAGACAGAGAATGAAATCAGTACAGTTCAGGTTTTTATCTCTATTCAGAGATTTTCTGTGATCACAGGGGCAGTGCTCGGATCCTGCCTGCCACAAAAGCCCAGCCCCAAAGGTCTGGAGATTCACAGAGAACCTCCATGGTTGTTAGATGCATAGCACCAAAGATGAACATGAATCCTCCTGGGGTACAGCTGCATAGCTCTGGCCACTTCCAGCTCATAGGATGATGGACCATCTGGTTTGTGTGAGCTGGGACAAAGACACAGGGGCTTTCATATACTGGGCACTGTTCTGAACACAGCTCTTTCAGAGCACTGTCATGAGCTGGGTCAGGACATGGAAGTCTTTTGCCATCTATTTGCCACCGTGGCAGAGCAGTCTCTGGGCACTGTTCTGAACACAGCTCTTTTTCAGAGCACTGTCATGAGTTGGGTCAGGACAGGGAAGTCTTTTGCCATCTGTTTGCCACTCTTGCAGAGCAGTCCAAGTTTGACAAGGATGGGACTTCAGGCTGTACTTGGGGATGACAGTGGGTTATTCTATGAGATCTCTCTGTAGAGACTGGAAATTTTGACTGCTGTTTGATGTTTGTCTTAATTTTTTTTCTCATTAACCCTTTTTTTGTCCCTGTTCAAGTCAAGTACTTGTTATACCCACTGTGCCTTATTAACCAATGCCTGCAACCACTCAAGTACTTGTTATACCCACTGTGCCTTATTAACCAGTGCCTGCAACCAGATATTCAAAAGGCATCTCCAGCATTAGCAAGGCTCAGCAGCAGAGTCACTCACACTGTCCTTGGACAGCTCAGCCTCTGGCCTCAGGAGGAGGACACTCTGGTCTACAGCACGGACACTGCACAGGGAGCCTGGTGCAGCCTGCAAATGGAGCTGGACGGTTATACCCACTGTGCCTTATTAACCAGTGCCTGCAACCAGATATTCAAAAGGCATCTCCAGCATTAGCAAGGCTCAGCAGCAGAGTCACTCACACTGTCCTTGGACAGCTCAGCCTCTGGCCTCAGGAGGAGGACACTCTGGTCTACAGCACGGACACTGCACAGGGAGCCTGGTGCAGCCTGCAAATGGAGCTGGACGAGGGATCCTGGGGGAGCCACTGTGTCTGAGAAGCTGAGCTTCACCTGAAACAGCAGAAGAGAGAGGGACTGAAGACATGGACAGAGGAAGGAAAGGGGAGACTGTGGGTACTGGACTCTACTGGCTGTGTATGGTCATTTTGCAGTGAGTTTTCTGCCCTCCATCCTACCTGCCTCTTATGCTTTGTGCACTGCTGAAGTGCCCAAAATTGGGGTTTGACATATGGACAATTCCTTTCTCTGCAGAGATGTGTGATGATTCTTGTCCCTGCAGAGAAACCCATTTCTCACAACACCTCTGCAGAGACAATTGTGACAGAAGTAACTAATTGTGTGAGGAGAAGCCATCAGCTGTTTTGGGAAAGGCCAGATGAGGACCAGAACATCTCTATTGGCTTTCACCCAGGGCCTGGCCAATTGTGGATGAAAGCCAACGAGGTGACTAGCAGCAGGTGTCCTGCTTGTTAAGAGAACAAGATTAAAGCAGTTCCTGCTTGGGGAGAGAGTTTGCTGGTGGATGTGCCAGGCAGAGTTTCTCTATTACACAGGAAGGACCCTCTGACTATCTCCAAATGATAAGGTAAAATCCATCCATGATCTCAACTGGCATTTCCCACAGGATGGCTTTGTGGGGGGTGTTGGGTTCCTTACTTTCCTTTCTCTTTTTCTCTGTTGTATCACCTGCTGGGGTTGTTGCTTTGTTTGTCCCACCCCTTATTAGTCAAACTGTGCCATTTGTATCTTTTATATTGTTTGAATTCATGGTTTCCTCTATTGTACCTGTGAGTGGCTGAGTCAGGTTGCTTTTCCACTTACAGAAAATAGATGATGGATTTATACTGATTTTTCTGTTGATAGCCTTTTTCCTGGTGGGGTATCTAACTGGCAAAACAACTACTTACCTGATTCCTGAAGCACTTGGAGACTTTCAGACTGAAGGTGTCAGCTGCCACTTGTCCCTCAGGGAAGGGAATGTAAACAAAGAGGGTGGCTGTGGGTGAGATGAGGTCGATGGGCAGAGTGATGTTGAAGGCCCCACTATACTGATCTGGAGGGAGCAGGAGAAACAGAATAAGTATAGGAAAAGGCCAAGGAGCCTGTCCCCAAAGGTTACAGCAGCAACATGCTCTTCCTCTATAACCTTTCTGTATGACTACTTGGATAAAAACCATTCTGCCTTGCTGTGGGGAGGTCTTAGTTAAAGCAGGGTGTAGGTTAGTGCATCTAGCCGTGGTTTTACATCACGAGGCACCTTGGCAACATCATACACTTGAAAAGAAATGACTTTCCACCTGAGTCCAACAAAAAGACCATGTGGGTTTTCCTGGAGGTCTCTGATAAACTCTGACAATTTCATTTGCTTAGACAAAAAAAAGAGAAATGGAAACTGAGAAGAGGTAACAGGTTTGCCATTTGCTCTTGCTGCTTTTTTTTGTGACAGATCATAGAATCCTTTAGGTTGGAAGGGACCTCCAAGATCATCAAGTCCAACCATTGAGCCATTAGGGCTCTAAAGTCCTCTGCTAAAACAGATCAGAATCTGTCAGGGTTGGAAGGGACCACAGATCTGTTGTTTCCTCAGGTCTCTCGAGGATGAACCTGTTGTTCATCTCGGGTCTCTTTTCCCTCCTGTTCATCTCGGGTCTCTCTTCCCCCTTGCCCGGTGAGGCTGGAAGGGATTCCCTGTCACACCCTTAACCTCCCCTGGTGCTGGGATGCTCTCACCTCGCGGGGGATCCAGAAGCACCGTTGTTTGGCCGTGATGCACAAGGGACCCCCTGGCCAAAACCTGAGGGGCGAGGAGCAGAGCAAAGGCTGGTGAGTGCCTCCGCTGCCCTTCCCCTGCCCAGCAGCGGGCCGGGCGCTGGCGCAGCCCCCCGCGGCA